AAAAAAAAAAAAAAAAAAAAAAAAAGACAAGAGAAAGTACCTTTGCCATTTGAGGAATATGTTCTGAGGCTTAATTTTATTTTTAGATTCAGGGACAACCTAAGGCTTTTTGACCAAACAAGTTCGGATTTAGTTCTCTAGAAGATGCCTAGATCCCTGGCAGACAATTGAAAAGACACTTATCTATGAAAGAGAAAGGTAAATGGCATCTTTAGATCTATACGGATAAAATAATTTATAAAAGTTGAAAATCTTACCACCAAAATAAAAATTTTCTGTATGCATCATTAAGTAGTATAACCAAAAACCCAAGTTATGATGAGAAAAACAAACTTCCAATTGTTAGTGTGATTTAATAAAGTGCATGTAAATACTATATTCAAGCACAGATCAAAGGATTCACTTTTATAGTACAGCCTCACTGCATTGTGCCTGTGGTAAAATGACACAATGCATTTCACAAATTTGGGGTGTCTTATAAATGGGAGAGGGAGACTCCATATTAAATTGATTAATAAATACCACCATTTACAATTAAATGCTACCTAGTTGGATACAGGACTGTATATACAATATGGCACAAATTATGTCAGAAAATAGCATACACATGCATACATACAGGTTAAAAACACTGAAAGGAAGTGTATGCTCATAGTTGTTATCTCTGGGTAGTAAGATTGAGGTGGATTTGGTTTTCTTCTGTATATGTTTCTATCTGTTCAGTTTTTTTTAAGTTATCGTATTTATCTTTTTTATATAATCAGATAAAATCATTTTAAAAGCAGCAGTATACTTGTTTTTTTCCAGGGCCTTAAGAAATACATGTGGCTTATTTATGGAGGGATCAGGACAGCACTTTGAGTGCTCCTCTTTGCTTAGAAGTCCTCAGCTCCAGAGCTGAACCAGTTAGCATTGAACCCAGGACAGGGAGAGTAAGTTCCGGCATTCAGGCCATATGGTAGTTTTCTTCTCATTTACTAATGCCTTATAACAAAAACATTAAAAAAAAAAAAAGAATGTTTTTTGATGACCTTCTCTTTGACATATGAGTTAGAAAACAGGGCAAAGTACTTGAACCATTTCAAATCTTCTCTCTTCTTTTAGGAGATAGACAAGAGAATGACAAGGAGAACCTAAACTTGGAAAATCACAGAGACCAGGAGCTTCTGCATGCTTCCTGTCAAGCCTCAGGAGAGGTACCTTCTCAGGTTTCCTTGAGGGGCTTCTTTAGTGAGGATGAGCCAGGATGCTTTGAAGAAGGAGAGAATCTCCCTGAGGCTCTGCAAAACATTCAGGATGAGGGAACAGGGGAACAACTCCCTCAAGAAAGGATTTCTGAGAAACCACTCGGTCAGCATTTGCCTAATCCTCATTCAGGAGAAGTGTCCACTATGTGGCTTGAGGAGAAGAGAGAGACCTCCCAGAGGGGGCAGCCAAGAGCCCCCATGGCCCAGAAGCTCCCCACCTGTAGGGAATGTGGGAAGACCTTTTATAGGAATTCTCAGCTTGTTTTTCACCAAAGAACTCACACTGGAGAGACATACTTTCAGTGCACCATCTGCAAAAAAGCCTTTCTGCGAAGTTCAGACTTTGTGAAGCATCAGAGAACTCACACAGGAGAGAAGCCCTGTAAATGTGATTACTGTGGGAAAGGCTTTAGTGACTTCTCAGGATTGCGCCACCATGAGAAGATCCACACAGGAGAGAAACCCTATAAATGTCCCATCTGTGAGAAAAGTTTCATTCAAAGATCAAACTTTAATAGACATCAGAGGGTTCACACAGGAGAGAAACCTTATAAGTGTTCCCATTGTGGTAAAAGTTTCAGCTGGAGCTCGAGTCTTGACAAACATCAAAGATCCCACCTAGGAAAGAAGCCCTTTCAATAGCCGGTCACCACACACTGTCTGCCCATTTCCATCTCCCAGCCCATTAAAAAAAAACTCAGCTCTGTCAAGAAGAATTATGTCTCTAAGAGGATACCCCTGATGGCTCCTTTTTTCATGGATTGGAAAGAATCTGGACATGGCTTTGGAATTGGAGGATATCTTGGATTGGATTTCGTAATGGCTTAAATTCTTGATTCTGCCTCAGGACAAAATACTCTTCATGTTTCCACTCATCCTTCCTTTGGACTTATTGGGGAAAAAGTCTAAATTGGAGATCCAGTTTTAGAAGTGCTTTCTGGGAGGCATTTAATGGGATTAGCTGTAATCACTGCTTAGGGGAAGAACCTGAGATCAGCCCCTTAAAGTGGGTTGTAGAGCAAGTCTTCTGTTCCAGGAGAGAAGGGGAGACACATAGAGGAGCGGTGAGCTCACGTGTGTTCTTTGTGATGGGATGAAAAACTAACTTCAAGTGTTCCTTGTTTGAAATAAACTTAGCAGAGTCTCTTCCTATCTTGTTTGAAGTATTCACTGTGTGTTTGACTGTATTTCAAAGCACATTATTTCATAGAGGACCCTAGGCAGTTGAGTGCCAAAATCAGCCCCTGTAAACCTATCAAGGTCATTATGTAGCAGAACAGTAACAGGAAAGTGCTAGCCTAACGTTCAGAGGATGAGAGTCTGGCCAGTGCGGGCAATCCCTTTATCTCAGGTCACTTTGTTTTTGGTGGCCTCTTTCTGAGCCAACCTTCCACTTGATCTCTTGCTTCAAGCCGCCCCTCTTTCTCCTAGCATCCCACCTGGGCTATCATTTTTGCCAAAGTGCTCTATGCTTTAAAATTACCTTTATTATACTCTCATTTTGTCTGTGTTAGGAAGAAGTCAATAGTATTGATCTAATTTATAATACTGTCTAGAGGTTTATTAACACATGTATCTAAACTGTCCAATTGTCCTTGTCTCCATAAGTTACATGCCTCAAAGTGTCCTGCCTGTAGAGTGAGACTTCCACCTTCCCCGCCATCTTCCACCTCCTCCTTTTTGCCTGATCTTATTATACTATGGGTGAGGCTCAGGAAGGATAATGCCAATGTGGACGGAGTTACTTCCCTGAAAACAGATTAACCTATAGTCAGTAAGCTGCAGTACATTGCTAGTTGATGGGAGAGGAGGGACAAAACCCAAGCTGGAGTTCTTGGATTCCAGCAGTAAAATTTATTAACTCCCTTACATCATGCTGATGAGAAATAAGGCCTCACTTAGGAGGTACAGGAACCACAAGGAAGAAGGCAAGAAAATTACAGAGGAATTAGCATTAGATTCCATATTCTGTATGGCAGAGATTTATAGGATGATGGGATTTGAGGTTTTAAATCATGGGTTCTCAAACTGTGGCCCCCGGACCAGCAGCATGGGCAATTTGTTTAAACTTACTGAATCAGAAATACTGAAGGGCAGGTCACAGCAATCTTTGTCTTAACGAGCTCTCCAGGGGATTCTGATGCCTGTTCAAATTTAAGAGCCACTGTTCTAAATAGCAATCAAAAAATTATGTGTCTGTGGGAATAGACACATAAGGAATACTGGGTCCTCCCATACTTTTCTTACAAATAAGCTGCCTCATAGAGCTTTTTAAAACTCATCAAAACTGTGGAACCCATCAGACTTGCAGTGAAAATTTGTTCCAGAGATAAATCTAGAAAACTTTTAGACTAAAAAGCTTTAAAGGTTTCTTCTTCATTTCCTCTTAAATGATTTAAAGAATGACAGAGATACTTCCTCTTTACTTGTTCACAGTTGTATCCACAACAAATAGTAGGTGTTAGGTTAAAATGTATTGAGTGGATACATGAATTAATGAAGGATAATACATATCAGTATAGACCTCCCTTATCCTCTGCAGCAGGGATCAGCAATATGGCCCATTGCTTGTTTTTGTAAATAAAGTTTTTTGGAATGCAGTCACACCCCTTCGTTTACTCATCATTTATGGTTGTCCTACCGTGGCAAAGTTGCAAAGTTCAAACGGAGGCATTGTGGCCTGTAAATAATAAGGTATTAACTAACTCATTCTTTATAGAAAAATTGTGGTGACCCTGCTCCAGGGTAGTGTTTCTCAAACTATAACATGCATACACATTCCTTAGAGAGATTGGTAACATGGAGATTCCAGTTCATGGGTGATGCCAATACCACCAGTCCAAGGACTGAGTGGAGTAGCCTGGAGCAAGATTACCTAGGATAGTGTGTGTAACAAGGTCAGGGCCCAGGTGTGGCTTATTTCCCTTGGTCTCTACATGATCATTTGTGACTCAGCAGCTCTCAGACCCTGGGCCAGACACAGTTGAGTAAATCATTTTATTAAGAAAGGTTTAGCATTATGAAATATTCCTCTTCTAGTTCCTGGGTTCATATTCCTCCAGCTCAGCCTCACTTTAGGCATATCACTCCAAGTTCCCTAGAGGAATTCTACAGAATTGTGAGTGCTCATGGTTTGTTATCTTTCTAAGTGTCTGTGGTCACCCTTCACCCACCTGTCCCTCCGGGCAGCCTCCAAGCCCAGCCTTTTTCTTTTCTCAGTGGCTCTGCAGAAAGCTAAATCTGAAGAAGCAAGGCTACACCAGCCAGAACCCACTTGGATGGGTTTTCCTTAGTCTTCAGGTTGAAAGTCCACACATAGGTGGGTCCCCGCTGACTGGTCTTGTACACAGGACAGCAATAGACACTGCGGCAATCCTGCTTATCTGCAGGAACGGCCTTGATGAACATCACAGGCATAGGGGGTGTCAGATCCTTCAGCTTTGCCTCTGTAATGATCCCAGCCTGAGGATAAAACATGAGAAGAGGCACCTTAGATGCAGGCTGTCTGAACATTGTCCTGCTTTACTGTTCTGTTGGCTCTTGGATGGGTTTCCTAGGGCTGGTGTAATAAAATGCCACAAACTTGATGGCTTGAAACAACATATCCTCTCACAGTTCTGGAGGCCAGAAGTCCTAAGTCAAAGTGTGGGCAGAGTTGGTCCTCCTGGGGGTTCTGAGGCAGAAAGCATCCCATACCTTTCCTAGCTTCTGATGGTTGCTGGCAATCCCCGGAATTCCTAGGCTTGTAGATGGATCACTCCAGTCTCTGCCTCCACCTTCATAGGGCATTCTCATCTGTGTCTCTACATGGTCTTGTGTGTGACTCTGTGTGTGTGTGTGTGTGTGTGTGTGTGTGTGTGTTTGATGTAATTTAACTGCAAGCCTGTATGGAATGAATGAATACATTTCCTACTGCTGATAGTACTCCAAGAGACTGTTACTTGCTATATCTAACAAAATGGTAACCATTATAAAACATGTCCCAACAAAATTTTCCATCTCCTTTTTCTTTTAGATTCTTTTTTTAAGAATTTCAACTCATAGATACAGGGGGTACATGTGCAGATTTGTTACATGGAAATGTGTGATGCTGAGGTTTGGAGTATGGATTCATCCTCATCTAGTTAGTGAGCATAGGACTGGACAGGTAGTCTTTATTAACCCCCACTCCTCCCTCCACCCTCTAATAATCCACAGTATCTACTGTTCCCATATCTATGCCCATCTGTGTGGTCTGTTTGTTTTTGTTTTTTTTTTTTTTTGAAGGGGGGTTTTGCTCTTGTTACCCAGGCTGGAGTGCAATGGCGCGATCTCGGCTCACCGCAACCTCCGCCTCCTGGGTTCAGGCAATTCTCCTGCCTCAGCCTCCTGAGTAGCTGGGATTACAGGCACGCGCCACCATGCCCAGCTAATTTTTTGTAGCTTTAGTAGAGACGGGGTTTCACCGTGTTGACCAGGATGGTCTCGATCTGTTGACCTCGTGATCCACCCGCCTCGGCCTCCCAAAATGCTGGGATTACAGGCGTGAGCCACCGCGCCCGGCCATCTGTGTGGTCTGTATGAGAGTACTGGTCATTGGATTTAGGGTTCATGATAATCCAGTATGACCTCATCTTAACTAATCAAAGACCTTATGTCTAAATATTCATTCTGGGGTTATGCCTAGACATGAATTTTTTGGGGTACTACTGAACCAAGTATATCTCTATGTGCATATTCACATGGCCTCCTGGGATCTTCTGGATCTTCTAACAATTTTGCCCCATTAGCTTTATCTTGACTGCTAAGAATAGTTTAGTGTCACCTGTCAAGTGGGATATTTGACTATGCACTCTTTCCAGATTGTATACAACAAGTGTACACTGCTAGAGTTATCCATTCTTGTTCATTTCATTTATCCCAGGCATCTGCTTGTTTTCCAGTTTCTTATCTGTGACAAAACGTCTTCTCCAATCTCATGGTGACTCACATTTTTATTAGCCTTTGATGAGGAGTCCTTTCAAAATGCCACTTTAAGCGATACCTACTGGCTCCTCTTTGCCGACATAGGACAACATGAAAGGCAGAAGATTCCTGCCCTTTGAGAGCTCATGATAAAGAAAGTGGACCAAGGAGGTGAACTAATATACCCCAGACACACACAGCAGCAGCAGCAGAGATAGCTGACTCCAACACTTTTTGAGCACCACCTATATGCCAGGCACCGTTCAAGTGTCTTACATAGTAACTCGCTTAATTTTTATGATGGCATTATTCTTCCATCTAACAGGTGAGGTCTGGAAATGTGAAACTATATCTCAGGTCACAGAGTTAATAAATGATGGTGTTGGGACTCAGATCCAGCCAGTCTGGTTCCAAAGCCCTTGCTATTAACCTCTCCACTCTACTCCCTCTGCAAAGCCTATGCTCTTTGCACCCCCCTTGGCTAGATAAAAATGGCTTTATGGCCTCAGAGAAAGAACGGTTATCTAGATAAAAAGATTCAGGGGTATCTCTTTTAGTGGTCAGACTTCACAGGAAGCAATGTGTATTTAATCAGCCCCCCAAAATATGCCCTTCGGTTCATCCCAGGCTTTACCTGTGTGTCCCAGCGGGCGCCTTCCATGAAGAGGCCATGGACGTAGACCCCTTCCCGAGGAGGACTCCTAAACTCTTCCCTGTTCTTCTTTGTCACATCACATTGCAGGGCCATCTGGTCCAGTGGCCACTCATTCTTGCGGGCTGTGGACTGCATGATGGCCGTCAGGAAGGACTCGGGGTTGAAGAAGCCTGTCAGCCACACAGTGGAGGGCATTGTAAAGTCACTAGCTGTCCAAGCCTCTAGCTCCTTAATTCTGTTGAGGAGGTCTAGGAACCAGGTGGCCAGGCCTGTGGTGGAAGGATAGGCTCGTCTAGCCCAGGACTCTGGCACCATATCGAAGTACAGGGCATTCTGTAAGTTTTCCATGTGGCTGGTTATAGTCAGCTCCCCCTGAAGATAAAGAATGAGACAGGGAAAGAGTGAGAAGGTGGGAAGTCCCTGTAAACAACTGGCGTCAGAGACCCCTGGCTCACAGCACCTAGGCAGACAAGAGTTATTCATCCTTGTTCATTTCATCTGAACGTGACTCCATGGGTGGGTAACACAATGACTGTCCTGTCTAGTACTTGCT